TAAATAAATAAATAAATAAATAAATACACTGATAAATAAATAAATAAATAAACAAATAAATAAATAAATACACTAATAAATAAATAAATAAATAATTACACTAATAAATAAATAAATACACTAATAAATAAATAAATAAACAAATAAATAAATAAACAAATAAATAAATAAACAAATAAATAAATAGATAAACAAATAAACAAAAATAAAATAAAATAAACAAATTAATAAACAAACAAATAAATAAATGAATAAATGTAGGTGATGGCGGTCATTAAACCTTTATGTGCTTGAGCAGACGTTATCTTTTCTGATCTAATTACTTTGAGCCATCACTACTGGTTTCGTACATAGACAAACGCACACATGAAGATACAGACATGCTTTCAGGTTGACACATGACTTGAACTAACAAAATCACTTTATATCATCATCAAAGAGGTCAGTTTTATGGTGTATACATGCAGGGTTTAGGGATAATCCGCTGACTAGTCAGCATGAACAAGAAGAAAATGCGGATTTTCGCAAAACGTACTCACATGGCGTATGAAAACTGAGCTCATCTTCGTGCGAAAAGTTGGAGGATATCTCGGGACTGCATTAACCTGAACGTGGTATTAAGGCCAAACGGCTGGAGTAGAACGCGAATCAGCAGACGTCTTCTGGTCAGACTGACCTAGAACTTCCATACGAAATGAAAGTCTTGAATAAGGTTGATGACGACGGACGCCAAGTTGGCATATTTCACCGAAACCCAGCATCAACAAGCATATTCAATATGCAAATGTGCTTACTTGCATTTCGAGTGAAAGTGTTGCGGGTGAAGAGATTGCAAGCTCGATTCCACCAGGAGACGACAGCAATCTGTTGGCTTTAATAAAAATGGTTTTTTTCGGGAAAGTACGACACTTTCTTGAGTTATGCCCACTTTTAGAGAGAAAGTTGACCCATTCTCCAGATTGGGTTGCTGCAAAATTATGTGTTCGTGTGGTCGCTTACATGTTGGAGTCGTCCCATTCGACTGAGCATAAGACCGAAACTGCGGCCATCGAAATGAACCGAATAGGAAATACATTCAAAGAAAGGAATACCGGCAAGAAGATGAGTAAACATTTGTTGTGCTCAATCAATAGACTGAAAGATAGAAAGTGAGTTGAGTCACTTATCTGTACTTTCAGCTCACTCTTTCTCTCTCGCATTGCGACGAAAAACACAAAATGGGCTCAGCAACTAAACCAGACCCTGCGCAATCGGAGAGATTGTCATCACATGTTTGTAGAAAAGGGTCATCAAACCTTGATGGCCGAAAACACACGTCACTTTTTGCTGTCCCCAATCACTTCGTGAATAAGAAACAGACACACTCACAGGCTTCGAGGTTGACACATGACCGTAACTAACCAAATCACTTTATACCTCATCAGAGCGGTCAGATGTAGAGGATATATACCAATTTTTAGCGATTTTCCGGAGAGTTTTGTTGACTTGTTGGCTCGAATTCGGTTGTGACGATGATGATGCTCGTCATGTGACGCACGAAAGCTGGACTTGAAGTAAACAGCGTCAACTGGTGGGGTCCATCTTCGAGGCTCTTCACCGAGCAGAACAATTGTGAATCACAAAGCTGCCTCGAAACACATCTTTCATTTGCACATACACCCAAGATTGCCTCACAACGAGCCGTCCGACTTGGCAAATGGTACATTTCTGAACAGGCTTCAGCTCATGCACAGAGACAAATGGCCGACATGGAAACGGATTGGTACCATTTGGAGGATGACTGGAGTCCTGAAATGCCAACGCAAGGAAGCACCGATTTGAGCCAAGCACAATTGCACAAATTGTCGGTTGTGTTGTGCACAGACAACACCATCTCCAATCTAGAGACATGACGATCTGTCAAAGCATTGCAAACAGACAAACTAACACACTCAACTTTCCCAATGTCCACCAACTCTTTTCTCACACACTCCGTCTACATCCACCTACACACACACGCATCCACCTTTCCAGTCAGCCGGCATACAGACTTTCTGTCCACAATTTTCCCCATCCTCGTCTACCGGCACACCTCGCTTCCTGCCCACCTCCATCCATCCATCCATCCAGACACTCTATCCACTCGCCTGACTGACCAAACGAAATTCTGCCCATGCATCCACTCATCCATGCGTCCATATTTTCGTCCTTCCATCTCATTCCCTTTTCCTCTCCAGCCTCGTCCTAGTTTTACCTGTTCAACTCGCTCTTTCCATCCAAGTCGCTAAGGCATCATCTGCTTTTGTTGTAGTCTCTTTGGTTCATTTGTCCCTGTGCCTCGACGATGTTGGACCAGCCAGCTTCTGGAATATTCGTCAACAAAATCCTTGTCTCCGAGGCGTTTGCGTCGAGGAGGTGACACGTCGACTTTGCCATCTGGCCCGTGGAGGACCGTTTTGAGGAGTAGAGATGAGCAGCAATTGCGGCTGTCTGTTGCGATTGCGTCGTCGCATCCACAGCCGCGAGTCCCGACAGAGGAACAGCTCGAATCAGGTCGACTCGAATGTGTGAATAGAAGACGTGTGGAATTATATCACTTTTTTGATGATAAAGTGTCTGATTGTTTGGTTGGTTTGATAGTTTCATTTGGTTGGCAGGGCTTGAAAACCGGCTTGTCTCAGTTGCTAAGCCGTTTGGTGTCTACTTTCTAAATGATACATTTATGCATTTTTATTTATTAATTTAGCATTTTTTTACTTTTCGCTCAGTACATTTTGCGAAGAAAAGGAAAAAAGCAATTTCTTGTTTCATAATTGTTGAGCTTACTTCCATTTCGAGTGAAAGTGTTGCGGGTGAAGAGATTCGAAGCTCGGTTCCATCAGAAGACGACGGCCGGTTGGCTTTACTGGAACATTCATTCGATTTCGGTGAAAAGGTGCTAAGCTTTCGTCCGTCATATGACCTCAACTAACCAAATCACTTTATACTTGACCAAAGAGGCCAGATGTAGAGGATATATACCACTTTTGAGGGATTTTCCGGTGAGTTTTCTTGACTGGTTGGCTTGAATTTGGTTGTAAAGATGATGATGTTCGTCATAGGACGGACGAAAGCTCAGCACCTTTTCACCTTTTCATCGAACGGGATTACACCTCGGAGACTCGAACGTGGA